AAAAAAAAAAAAAAAGCCTTCTGAACAATTTGTTGATTCAATGTCATGAGAATAAACATGTCTGCCTATTAGTTAAAGCGGACGTTCAGAGTTTCTATAAACGTATTTCTGCATAGAGTTTCAAGCCAAGTGGCCGCCAGCACAGGCTCAGTGGCGCTTGTCTCCTTAATCGGGATCTTCCTTAAAGAAAACGCAGAATAGCCCTTTAAAAACCCCTGGGAACAGAGCCCCTCACCACTGCACCACGGGTGTGGGAAATCCTTGCACGGTAAAGCAGAGCTTCACAGACATCCTCTCCCAGACAGTGTGGGACCGCAGCCGCACCAGGATCTCAGGAGCCCTGCTTATCCGCTCTTCAAACGAGTGCCTCTCCCAGGCCAGCTTGTCCTTCACCTGCCCCGAGAAGCAAGGATTGTCAGGTTTTCAGGCAGAGAGCCACACTCTGCCCGCGGCCACTCAGGCACCACACAGCCAAGCTAAGATCCGTTCCACGCGCCCCAGGGACCCAGCCACCCAGAGACCCTCCTACCATCTGCTGAATGGCGTATTCGTCCAGCTTGTCGCGGGCCTGGGAGCGTGCCAGGTGGACATTCTCCTCCATGTGGGCCAGCTCGCTGAGAAAACGCTGTCGCTTGGCCTCGCCATAGGCGGCCACCAGGGATTGGTACCTGCAGGAGCCAAGAAGCAGACTCATTTTCAGGAATCGCAGAGAAAACCACGTGAGCCCTGAAGGTTGGAAAGAGCAGCCCGTCCCCTCCCCTGGGCCTTCCTTAAGTATGTGCCAGAAGAAAACAAGAGAAATGCTACTTCTGCTCATTTGTATCTCTCTTCCTTTGACGAGTATGTTTTGGTGTGTGAATGCCATGCATGATGGAGTTGTAAAGAAGAACAGGTACATGATTTATTAACAAAAAATACAGGAGCCACACGCCCCCAACTTTCTTTCACCACTGAGAGTGCACAATTGCAGCCGCTTGGAGGCCTTAAGTGATGCTTTGGAGAATTGCTGTAAGCACAAAAGACAACAGGTACCCACACCCACTGAGAGAGTCAGGAAGTTAATCAGAGTCTCTTAAAAACGGACATATGGTTACTCACCTTCGTGTGCACAAAAACTCACATGCAGCAGGTGCTCAGTAAACACCCGGCCACTCAGGGAATCAGGGAACCTTTCTGGATTTACAAAACAAAGGCCTTGGTGCTTTCAGAGGTCTGAGATTCAGCACAGTTAGGTGCTGCTGCGCTGGAGGTGCTTTTGACATCAGTTCCATGATTTGAAAATTTAGGAAAATAGTGAGCTCCCATGTGTGAGTTTTCCTCTGCAGGGCAGTAAATAAAAACCATTTGTTTTCCTGGGAAGGAGACAGTTTCTGAGTGATTTTAAGATGGAATTAAAGTCTTCTGAATTTAAAAAATACAGATAAGAAATGTCCGAATGCTAAAAATAATAGCAATAATAATAAAGGATTAAATAAAGGATTCAGCATCTTCACTCCGTAGAAACTGAGAAATGTTCACATCCCTCATGGCTCCCATGCCATCTTGTGAACCCCACAAATCGCACCCCAACACGGGTAGGCGCGGGCTGCCTCCATGCTCCATGCTCTGAGATGCTCTGGAACTCGGCAGCAGCTCTTCCAGCCCCATCTCCCACCCTCACCATTGCCTTCCCAAGGTCCCGTGGAAATTAGGATGCTCGCTCTTCTGCTGCCCTCTTGCATTCTGTCCCACTCGTGGGAAAAGTCTCGCTGTCACCCCTTTCAAGCAACATTCTGTCCTTCCTCAAGCCCCTCCAATGCCATGTCTCCCGTGGAACCATTCCTCATCCTCCTCCCCCTGCTTTGAACCCCAGACCTCTGTTTATTTCTCTTATGGCCTTTATGGTCATCCTTTGCATACATTTTATCCTTTCCAGAAGAAAGGACTGGCTACTTCTTACCTCTGCATTCCCCAGACTCAGTACACAGAAGATGCCTAATGAATACTCAGTAGTCCAAGTCAGGCCGGGAAAGGTTCCTTCCCGGGTGGCAGGGACGGGAAGCTGCAGAGCCGGCCTGAGAAGGAGGTGGCAGAGGGAAAGGTGGCCACGCAGGGGCACTGCTTGTGACATCATGTGAGCTACCAATAGCTGCTCGGCCAGGCCTCATCGAACAGAAAGTCCCAGTGTCGGAACTGGAGGGGACTGTGGCATCACTGCTGCCCAGAGACGTGGGGAGTGCGGTGGGAGAGCTGCTGTGGGTTGGTGGTGAGGCCTGTCCCAGGTCCAGGGTGCAGGGCCTCTGTCCGAGGGCCTTCCCCAATCCCACACAGCTATGATGGGCCAGTGCCTCCCCAGCAGCCAATAAGAGTAAGGCCTGGTGTTAGGCGTTTGGGAAGTTCGTGTCCAGAATTGCAGAAAACTCTGCAGCCTCTTTGACAGAAATGAGGCAGGAGGAACCACAACATATAACCATGCAAGGAATGATGATTGACCTCCTTAGGAACCCAGGCTCTCAGCCTGCACCTCCCTGTCCTGCTCCCGGTCAGACACACTGCCTTTCCTGCAGTGTTTAGGAAACCGTCTCTTCGGGCCTCAGCCGTTCTGCACGCCCACTGCCTAGGACAGATTTCTCCCAACTCCTAACGGGCTGGCATCTGGTCCTCCTGTTTTCAGCACCAGGGTCTCTCCCTCAGAGACTCTTTCCGGAGGCCCCTCAAATCACAGCCCCCCCAGTCTGGTTCATGCTTTCTCATCCTCCCCTTGCAGAGCTCGTGCCACTGCTGTACGCACGTGTGTGCGTTGAATGACACGAGCCCTGCCCTGTGACTTTGAATCCCACTCAAGTGGGAAAATGCCCACTTGGTTCCCCCAGTATCCAGGTGCCAGAAGGAGTCCTAGGAATACGTGTTCAAGGAATGAGCGCAGACGTCACATGGCCTCAGAGGTCCCACAGGGAACAAGCCTTCTGACTGGGAGTGAATCCCACTGAATTGCAGGGACCCAGAAGACAAAGCCTGGTCGGTGCCACTCAGTGCTGTGATGAGCTCAAAGGATCAGACATCCTCTCTTGTTGCTGTTTACATTTCTATGGGCTCTTTATGTTTAAGAGAGCCACAGCTAAATCTTAAGTCAAAAGCTCCACCATCCCCTAACCCTGTATGATTCAGAATAACTATTTGGTCTGGAATTCCTCCCACATCTAGCCCCAAGTCAGGACATTGAGGAAATATTCCTGCCATTGGTGATCAGTTGACTGTGACGCCAGCTCAAACGCACAGAGTAACGTCATCTGTCTTGCACTGACTGTAAATGACTAGCCCTGGGACAGGCGGCTTGCAAGAGTAGGCCCGTTTTTCACCCAGGACTGAAGGAAGACGTCTGAGGGATGTTTCCGATGGGTCATATCTTCCAGGAGGATGTGTTGAGTGCCTTCAATGCACTGATGTCTCTTCAGTATTTATTTTACACAGGGACATCAGCTGTAACTCACATCAGTGAGCCCACAATTTCATCTTTTGCAAAGGACCAACTTGTCCGGTGCATTAAATTAATATCCACCCTGAGAGGTGAGGGATAAATACATGTAGGCGATGACACTTGCAGCCGGTGAGAGTGGTGAATTCCAATACAGGCTGGAATCGATGGAGCTGCTCATGTCACTCAGCACAGGCCTCGCTCGTCCCTCCAGGTCCTTCTGCACGACGGTAATAGACCAGGCTTCACAATAAATCTCAATTCGTGCTTGTCCAACTCATTGAGATCCCAACGAGTGTGTTTACTTTTAAAGGAGGGAAGAACTGACTTCAAAAAGATCTTCCCCATGGAAGTCATGCACGTGGTTGGGAGAATACAACGCTGTGGGGCTGCTGACGATGGTCTCACGGACAGCGTGAGGTGTGGGCTCACACAGCTGGGACAGTCCCTGGCCTTGGCCCCCGCCTCTACTACGTACAAGAGACTGGAATTTAACGTGAGCATCCGAGGTGCAGTGAGAACACAGCCCATCACCAGTTACTCAAGCCTCTTCTCTGAGTGAAATTTGGTATTGTAAGAGCGTAGCCCAGCGTGTTTTAGTACAATTTCCAACAGCCAAGGCTGTCATGAAAGTCATTGCTATGGAAACCATGTGAATCACAGTAAGCCGCTCCCTGACCGTTCAAGTTACCACTTTACCAGGGGGGGAGATTGAGCGGTAGGAAGTTTATGCAATATGTTCAGGGTCCCATCAATGTCTAAATGATAAAAATAAAATGGTAAGCTCAAGTGTTCTATGGTAGCCCCCCAAAACTTGACTATAGGTAGAAGAACCCTTTCAAAAGTAATCCAATGCATAAAAATCCGGAGTGTCTGAACATCTACGTTTCAAAGAGATTCTTTCACAAAAGAAATCTTCACTTTACACTAGAACTTATTTAAGTGGCAAAATTATCCTATGACATTTAAACATAGTTAAAATGTTTTAAAATAAAGGTTAATCTTCTTGGCTATACATTGTTTATATTCGACAGATTACTTCATCATTCTGAAACTTTTAAAATGAAGCATGTTTCCTCAAATCTCATTTTTCCTTCGAGTTTCAAGTGCTTTGGAGATAGAAAATTCCCAGGAGTCGTAGGGAGATGAGGAGAAAACAAAGCAGGTATAAAACAAAGCCATTCATTTCGTCCTTAAAAGATCAAAGTAATGTCACCACCTGTTTCTCCGTCATCTGGAAATAATTTTAAGACTGGCATTTTTATTAATCCGCCCCGTTCCTACGACATCCATGAGCTGCCTCTGTTGAAATGTAAAGCATGACAATTTATAGAATGCCTTCCCAACTCTTTAGCTTCCACATGACAACTGTTTAAAACCCTGGCTCCCACTTCGGAAGATGACCTTGCTTGAATCTGCAACCCTTCACGGCTGTTCCTGCATAGCTGCAAAGGTTGCAAGTGGAAATTCAGAATTAATCTCACGTGGCCAGGTCTTGATATTTTCAAGTGTGCTTATCCCGCTTTGTGTGGAAAGGGGCTGAGCTCGGCTTCGAAGCCACAGGCCCCGGAGCTCTCAGCCCGGCTGTGACGTGTGTGAAACATGGAACCCTGCGGAGTGTCATGAGCACTCTGGACAGCAACGCTCTCTTCTGCAAAATGGTGGGAAGCTCGTGCCCAGTGGTTTTCTTGTTTGGATTAATTGAGATAATGGTGGTAAAGAGAAGCAGGTGATGGGGAAACAGCAGCAGTCTCCCTCTCGCCGCAGACCCAGGCTGTGTCCTCGGCCTTCTCTCTCAGCTAAGGTCGCTCTTCCCTCCCTGCCCCACTGTCCCGCCCCTGCGACCCCACGCAGGGCACCAGCAGAGTCGGGGAAGCCATGCGCTCACCTGTTTCTGCTCTCCCGCTCCTCCTCTTCCTGCGTGCTTATCCGCTTCGCACAGATGCTGCAGGTGGTTCTTCCCAGGGACGTCTGGCTGGAGGCTCTCTCCGAGGAGGACTGCTGAGTCAGGGACTTCTGGGAAGACGTCTGGGTGGAAGCTCGCCTTCAGAAACAGGGACACCATTAGGAGACCCACACGCAGGCACAGTCGAAAATTTATCTTGACACGCATCACTTTCTCTCTACACGCCCCAAACCACACATACACACAGAGCACACACACACACACACACACACACAGGCCTACGAGAGGCATGCACTACACACAGAGGCACACATGCACACACCCACACATGTGTACATGCACACACATGCACACATACGCACGTACAGTGCACACATACGCGTGTGTACTCAAATAAATGCATGAATGCAGAGACAGAGCTGCCCGCAGGGACATGCCTGCCCACCAGCGCGCGCGCACACACACACACACACACACACACTCGTGTGCACACAGAAACGCACCTACACACGTGCACGTGCACCTGCACAGAGGCACACCCAAGCCCATGTCCCTGTGTGTCCACACCCACATGACCGCACACACCCGTCCTGGGTGCTTTCTCCCTGAGCTCACTGTGGCTGGTGCCAGCTCCCCTCAGAGCCAGCCAGTGCCGGCCACAGTCCTTCTGGCTCCACGCCAGGATTATATATATCTTAAGGGATTTGAGACTCTCCAAGGCTGCTGGGAGGGGCTGCAAATGTTTGGCTTTGTTTGGTACGAGGGATAGCAACTAAATAAAAGTAGCCTAAGCGTTTCTAAATATAGGGTGTGGGTGACATGAGGCAGGCACCTGGGCTGCAGAATGCCTGCCCGCGTTCCCTCCCACTCTTCGCCACAGCCTTCCAATCAGCCCATGACAATTGCAGATTTGCTGCCACACAAACAGCATCCACGGGGGCATGTACTGCCGTCCCGGACCTCCGAGAAGGCAGCCCCAGGGGCAGCCATTCGTTGGCTTTGGCACATCCATGATTGATGTAGCAAAATCACTAACATCACCTCCCATTCCATCGTTACTTTGCCACCCATTCACTTCTCTCCTACCGACAGCCTTTCCCACTAGTTTCAATCTCATTGCTCTTTATTTTTGGTGGCTTTTTAGATCCTAGTTCTGGAAGGCATGTGATGAGCAGTAAATTCAATGAGCTTATACAAAGGACTTCCTGCCTCCCCACCTCAACCAGGAGCTCAGAGCTGGGCCAGCAGGACCTGCCAGGACATGGCCCCAGCTCCACGCAGTGCTGCTCCATAGCAGGACCTAAGCACAGGAGATGCTGCCACCCCTGCTATCTGACTCCCTGCAAACCAGGGCCTCCCAGGGTTGACGGAACTGGAAAGGCCTGTAAATGTCAGACCCTCAGCTGTGCGGGCCTCATCGGCGAATGTCTGCTTACTTTTTTGACGCATATTCGTCCAGCAGGTAGCGTGTTTGAATATTGCGATAGGACTGGTCCAAGTGCCTGTGTCTCTTCTGGTAGAAGGGGACGGCCACAAGGGACATCTTGGCGTGCTCCTACAAAGAGTCAAACACGGCACTGAGCTCCCTCAAAAGCATCGTGGGCCCTCTGCAATTTCTGCATCATTCCAAAGGGGAAAATGAACTCCAGCTAACGAAACCCACGTGGGAAGGGAAAAAAATGAAAGATTACGTAGGCAGAAAGCATCTTAGACCAGCAGTCAGGAAGCTTATTAACTTGCCAGGGACTCAACTTCATTTTCTGTTTTCTTCCATAACAGTTGGAAGATTGGGCTGAGTGTTTCATTTAACTGTGAAGTCAGCAAGTATTCCTAGAACCACTGGTGTGTTCACGGCAAAGCTCAAAGCAAGGTGAGTGGGAAGGACAAAAATAATTAACGCAGATTAGAAAAGTAAACAAACACTTAGAATACAAGAGAAGGCCCAATAAGAGCCAAGAGCCGGGGAGATAAAAGGTGTCCTGGGAACCGCAGGAGCAGAGGACAGCCGAGCAGCCCACGAGGCAGATGACATTTGAGAGGAGCCGTGGCGGACAAGCGGGACTGCGAGGCGGAAGTGGGAAAGGAGGGCAGCCCATGAGCAAATGTCAGGGCAGAGAGTCCAGGATGGTGGGACACTTGCAGGGGATGTGACCAGAAATCACTCTGGAAAGACGCAGCCACATGTGGAGGTGGCCAGTGTCTGCCTGGGGAGCCAGGAGTTGGCCATCATGCAAAGGCGTCATGGAAAAAGTGCCTGGCTGGAGGTGCCCCCTGGACTCTGGCGTCTGAAGTCTCACTGGTTACGTAGACAAGCGTGGCAGGAGGTGAGCGGGAAAGGGAGGACTGAGCCTGGCCTCAAACTTCGGGGATGTGGGGAGATTCGAACATGTGGAGGAAATTCTCCCCAAACAATAAATAATGGAGCTCCATCCTTTCCTCTGGGATCTCGCAGCATGACAGGTATTAGACATGGCAATTTGTTGCATGCGTTCACCCAAAATACATAAAACACAAACATGCTGAGTTACTTGATCATCTCTACAAAGTTACATAGGGACCGTATTCCTCAATCTTCACAGTCATTAATTTCCCAAACAAGGTGCAAAAGGACTCCCAACTTGGGCTCAATTTTTGTCTTTTCTTTTTAAATGAGGAGAATCTGTCCTGATTTAAAGAGGGAACTCCTCAGCAGCGTCCCAGGGCACAGCCCCAGGGGTGCTTCCCACATCCCGGAACACGGGACTGAAACTTGGGCGGAAAACGGCAAAGGGCCACTCAGAGATGAGCTTGTCGTTGTTCAGATCTCCAGGGTATGTGCCAGAAAACCAACCACAACACATAAACTTCCGCAAGGACACTTATGACCTCTTTCCTCTGAACTCTGCGCTCTCGTAGAATCACAGTACAGTGGAACGTGGAAGGATCCCTGGGGATTATGCAAACTCCAATTCTACAGGGACGAAAACAGGACACAAGGGCCAGAAGGGGAAATTCCTTGTCGAAGAGGCTGCCCCTGCCCCAAGGGCATCAACTACTGATTCCAGGCCTTTTACACGCTGTCACACTGTCTCAATATTGCCTCTTAAAACCCAACTAGTCAGCCAACCACCACTACCCTTGGAGGGCCCAGCTGTGTTTTAGAGTGCGCCAGTATGCATTCGGCCCCCAGGATATGCCAGAACATTGCACCTGATGGAACGCAATAAAAGCACATCTCCTCCACCCGCCCCGATACTGAAGGCAGCATCACAGTGAAGACGGTGGGTGCCCGGGTTTTGACGTCTGGTAGACCTGGGATCAAATTCTGGCTGCAGCACTCTGACGAGGCCTGGGTTGGCTTCCAGCTCCTCTAGCCCTGATGTTCCATATTGAATCTGCGTCACACCTGGCACTGCCCCGGCACCAAGTAACAACGACCAAACCGGTCACTGGACCTGACATACTGCTGCCGTTATTGCAGGTCAGGAATTCTGCAGAGAGGAAAAGGTATCTGACAAAATCTGTGTGTTGTTTTACTATTTGAAATTCTCCCCAGCTGCATCTCAGTGGGATTTTCCAATGAGTTAATCAAGGTGGGTCTTCAATAAACGCTTCCTGCTTATAAGCCCATTTACTCTCTCTGGATTTCACCAGCAGGATGCTGGGAAGAGCTCACCGAGCTGAAGCTGGACCAAGGTTGGGGAACACATTTCAGCTTCAGTCCAGTTTCCTTTCCAAGGTTCTTCTGGGACTGACCTGACAAATACCAGGCAATCACTCCAGCAGACCCATGAACAATCCCCAGCACCTGCTGTGACACCAGGAGGTCACATCTCATCACAATATTTACTTATATTTATGCTGAGTTAAACTTCAGATGTGTTTATATTTCTTGGCAAAGGGAAGAGTCAAATATGACCTATTAGGTCAAAGGAGAGAATGAGCTACACTGAAAAAAGAGAATGTGCTGGATGGAATTCATCCTCCTTAGTCCTAAGATCTGGAACAATGTGAAATGGCTCACGTCTTTATAGCCCACGGACTAGCTACCCTTCAACCAGTCTGGGACGTCCCATCCAACATGTGCGCACAAGCAGCACCACATGTATCACTGACTTGCCGCCCGGCCTGTGGCCTGGAAGTCTTCCAACACTTCATGTGCGAGGGCTGCACTTTGTGGTGCTTAGCGAGGCAGAGCTGGATCAAGTGCACACACTTCCTGCTCTCCTCACTCCCACTGTACCTGACGGTGGAGGGCTCCCTGAGGTGACTGTGGATGTGGGTAATAGGGCACTTTGCTACTTTTATCCCCACGTGCTTTCCCTGCTCACTTCATGCTCAGAACCATCAAAATCAGGAGGTGTCAGAGGCTCTGCAAAAGCCGTCACCCTCAGTTCCTTCCACAAGCATGGGGTCACCTGCCCTGCACCAGCCAAGCCTGAATCAGAACCCTTGGATTTCAGCAATGGAAACAGCTTAGAGCTCCTGGCTCGGAAGAGCAGCAACCTCAAGTCTTCTGTGCACGTGACTTCCAGTGCCGATGTGCCATCAATTCCACTTTTACCAATCTCATGCCCAACCCAGAAAACAAGCGGGATGACATGCCCAGCCTAACACCCTGAATGTGTGCCCCTCCGCAATCTCTTCACTCCTCTGCAGACTGCCTACGTTAGAACTTCCCCAGCGTCCCTGACCCAGCCTGAGCCACCGCCTTCTGTCCTGGCTGGGTGTGATGATGTCTTTGGAAGCAAATCCCCACTGGCTCAGCACGTGCTGGGTGGCTGCAGCTCTGGTGGCAGGGAACCCTGGACAGAACTTACCCAAATGCACCCTAGAGGTCCAGCGTCCCTTATCCAAAATGCTTGGACCAGAAGTCTTTCCAGTTTCTGATTTATTTTTCAGACTGTGAAGTATTTGCATTTATGCTTACTTTGGATTTGAGCAACTCAAATCTAAAAATCTGAAATCTGAGATGTTCCCATGAACATTTCCTTTGAGAGTCACACCAGCACTCAGAAAGTTTCAGAATTTAGAGCATTCTGGATTTCTGATCAGATTTGAAATGACCAGCCTGTACTATCTATGACAATATCAAGAAAATGCAGCACCTGGGCCAATCGGCACCTCAGCGTCCCTCCACCATCTAGGTAGAAAGCTACTTTCCTTTTTAAGGAGCTGTCTCAGACATGTGTTCAATACCCCCTACACACACCAGAGGAAAAAAGGGAGAGAGAGAGAGAGAGAGAGAGAGAGAGAAAATACAGCCTTTCCTTGCAGGGCAGTTTCTGATGTGAGTCCACTGGGGCTCAGGGGCACTGGGAGGCTGGGACTCCAGCAGGGACCCTGCTGACCTTGAGCTCAGGGGCCTTGGCCCACTCTGCTGTAAAACCGGGGTGCTGAGCAAGGTGGCAGCTAACACTCCCCCAGCTCAGACAGCCTGTGTGTAAATAATCCTGGAGCCAAGCTGTGCTGTTAGCACGGACCGTCCCCAGGGAAATATGACTCGCCTGCGTTACCAGTAGGGCCACGGCCGAACCCAGGTGCCAGCCGGGTCTCCTGACGGCATCCAGCCCACTTTCCACCACAGCCCAGCCCCCCAGCCACTCCCGGAACGCTCCTGACACGTTTAGGGATCATGACACCAGGATGAAACGTGCCCGGCCTCAAGTGCAGGGGACTGTGCATCCGATCGCCCTGTCCGAATCCCTTCCTGCGAGGAATCTGTGGAACCCATTTTTCATGTCACCAGGATGGGTTTTAATTTGCGAAAATGTTTGGAGTACAAAACCTTGACTTCCACTTAATGAAGGAAGTTGTTTGTACAGTTTAAAATGTCAAAGTCAACAAATATACCAAATTAAAGCATGTCTAGAGGCGAAATGGACTCTTGGACACACACTGTCGGCCTGTGCCCCACGTGGCTAAGCCCTTGGTCCCAAGACAGGTTTTAGCTTGGGACTTGGTTTATTAAACGATGCCTTAAATTATCTTTGTTGTGCGCTTTCTTTGAGTCCTGTTTTACTTCTACTTAGTAAGAAAGGAAGGTGAAATGCAGAACTGGAAAACGCCAGGTGTCCCCAGCGACGGCAAACCCCTTCCTTCCGTGTCACCTCCAGTGCCTTCACGCGCCACCCCCCAGCCCCACTGTCTTTCTCCAGCAGGCTCGGTTTCAAGAGCACACCCTGAGAAGGCACAGCCTCTATCAGCAGAAGGGAGCTGAAAAAGTCTCCAGTGTCACAACGCACCCAACAGCACAAAGAAGAAAACAGCCACCGATAAGAACACTGTCATTTTCAGGAAAAACTTCAAAGTCCTGACAAGGACTGTTCTCTTTCCTATACCCTGGATAATCCCATCTGGGTCTAAGCTGAGTGACCGTCAACTCTTTTCCTTAAGAAAATATCCAGTTTTATTATTTCACACCTGCACAAGTCAGCCCTCTCCTCGGGGGAGGCTTTCATTTCTGAGAATCTCATGAAAATTGCAGACATCAATTCATTAACTGCCACGCTGAGACCAGGGTTAAGACCCAAAGCACATGCTTCAAGGGTGCTGAGCAGCACTTAGCAAAGGCCACAGCTGCAGGAAATAAAATAGCAGTTGAGCATAAAATCTCGCCAAAGAAATACAGAGCCCAGCACAAATCGCTGTTTTCCAAGGTGAAGGATGTGTGCAATGGGCGATGGGGTGCACTGGCCCTCTCTTCTCGACTCTGAGGTAGAGCTACTTAGAAAACTTGAGTCCAACCAGCTTCTGCAGAAGTTACCAGTGCTCCCCACAAAGCCACAAATTAGAAAAGGAAAGAAGAGAAAGACACTTACTCAGAAAGGAAAATCACAAGAAGGAGAGGAGCCCGGGCCTCTGGCTCAGCAAGCCACCCACGCTGCAGCTGAGGAGGGCAGAGAGCCTGTGCCTCCCTCCCTTTAAGGCCTGAGGAGCTGCTATATATAGACGCAGGGGCCTGCCTCTCCCACATTGATACCCACATCATAAATCACCAGCCTGACCTCAGGAGGAAAAACTTCTTATTCAAACCGAGGGCGGGGGAAGTCACAATTCAAAAGTAGAAAGTGTCCCTTCTGAGCCCCAAAGTGCACTTCCCCAGGAAACCCGGCGTGACCCTTCAGCCCCTGAGCCAGCGAGAGAGGGCAGGGCACTGACCTCCCCCACTCCTCCCTGCAACTCTCCTCCACGAGTTCTAATCTCGAGGTGTGAATTCTCAGACATATCTTCAATCCTTTGGACCTACAGGTTCCCTGGCACATTAACTGATGCTCCCGAAGCAGTCTTTAATAATGACTTGGATTTCAGGAAGCACTTGTGCCGTTCACAGGCCTGGACGCTGGAGTTCAGGTGCACAAACCCATGGGTCTGTGTGAGTGTGTGTGTATGTGTCCGGTCTTCACTTGATTGTATCTAGGGCTATTTTAGCAAGAACTGCCTACCCGAAGGAGGAGCGGTGCCTAGTTGGCAAGTTGGGGCTTATTTATAGCCATTAGTGCAGATGTACACCGTGTCCACACCACTGGGATCGCTGCAGGGTGTCTGTCGTTTTGCACAGCATGTGTCCAAATATAAATAGCACACAACTGGCACGGTCCTGGACTGCAGCCTGGTCAGGAGGCGGGGCCTTGAGGGGACATCTCCATCTGAGGACCGGGAGGGCCACACTCCGGCTGCGCCTCGCCGCTGGGGCTGAGGACTTCAGCCCGCTGCCCCACCCACGGTGCCCTGCTCCCCAGCTCTAAAGCACACGGAATAACAACTTTCTTGCAAGTTTGTAGTGGAAATTAGAGAAACTATTATATGAGAATTGCCTAGGAGCCTTAAGAAGCTCCACGGCATCTGGGGCACAGCCGAGACCGAGCGAGCAGGTGGATGGAGGCGAAGATCAGATGCTAGAAAGATGTGAGCACAGCCTCCAGTCGGGCCTCGGAGTGCCCTGGACGCTGTATTGGGAGGCACGTGTTTCTGTCTTCTTCCCCTTCGTATTCCAATGGCCAAACATTTAATTTAATCAGTGTTTGTTGAGTGATTTCTTAGTCTATTCAGGCTGCTTTAACAAAATACCTTAGTCTATGTGGCTTATAAAACACAGGATTTTCTTTCTCACAGTTCTGAGGGCTGGAAGTCCAAGGTCCGGGTACTAGCAGGCGCTGTCTGGCGAGGGCCTTCCTCGTTCTGGAAAGGCGCGGTCCCTGTGTCCTTGCTGGGTCGAGGGGCAGGGCCGCTCTTGGGGCCTCTGTGTGAGGACACTGATCCCACTCGGGAGGTTCCACCTCCATGGCCTTGTCACCTGCCAAAGGCCCACCTCCTCACACCATCATTTTGGGGGTTAGAGTATTAACCCATGTATTTGGGGGTGCAAACATCGAAACCAGAGCAAGCGGTGTTTCCTTCGAATTTATCAGCATCTCCTTCCCTAGGGAATCTAGTTCTCAGGGACCTGAGGGGCCTGCATTTGAGCCCCTCTGCCCTCCTGCCTCTGAGTGGCTGACACGGGAGGGAAGTGATGGTGCCCCACCCCTTCAGGTGGCATCTCAGTCCTCTGGGTCCCAGTCCTGGCATCTCAGGAGGGGACAGTCTCACCCAAGGAGGAGCCTCTCTGAGAGAAAGAAAGCCTCAAAGGAGGATGGCTCACCTCAAAAAGGCTTTGCGGTGGCAGCCACAGCATAGAGGGGAAGGGCAGGTGCGGCCTCCACGCCCTCCCACAGCACAGGGGGAAGGGGCGGGTGTGACCCTCCACGCCCTCCCACAGCACAGGGGGAAGGGGCGGGTGTGACCCTCCAGGCTCTCCCACAGCACAGAGGGGAAGGGCGGGTGTGACCCTCCATGCCCTCCCACAGCACAGAGGGGAAGGGGCGGGTGTGACCCTCCACGCCCTCCCACAGCACAGAGGGGAAGAGCAGGTGTGACCCTCCACGCTCTCCCACAGCACAGAGGGGAAGGGGCGGGTGTGACCCTCCAGGCTCTCCCACAGCACAGAGGGGAAGGGCGGGTGTGGCCCTCCACGCCCTCCCACAGCACAGAGGGGAAGGGCAGGTGTGGCCCTCCACGCCCTCCCACAGCACAGAGGGGAAGGGAGGGTGTGGCCCTCCACGTCCTCCCACAGCACAGAGGGGAAGGGAGGGTGTGGCCCTCCACGCCCTCCCATAGCACAGAGGGGAAGAGCAGGTGGTCGCCCTCCATGCTCTCCCAAACCAGAGGGCGATGAGGCAGATAATTCCCCACAGAGCACGTGTCGCGAGCTGCAGAGGGGAGAATCAGCACTGCCTCTCATTCCCAAACCCTGAAAACCTGGTATCAGGAAACAGGCCCACTTGAAACAAGAGCGTTTTGTTCCTTCTTTTTTTTTTTTTTTAACGGAGTCTCGCTCCGTTGCCAAGACTGGAGTGCAGTGGCAACCTCCACCTCCGGGGTTCAGGCAATCCTCCCACCTCAGCCTCCCAAGTAGCTGGGATTACAAGTGTGTCCCACGTGCCCAGCTAACTTTTTTTTTTTTTTTAACTAGAGACAGGGTTTCACCATATTAATGAGCAGACTGCTCTCAAACTCCTGGCCTCAAGTGACCCGCCCATCTCAGCCTCCCAAAGTGCTGGGATTACAAGCGTGAGCCACCACACCCAGCCCTGTTCCTGTTCTCTGTCATTAGAATGTCTTTCTTCCTAGTTATGCTAGTGCAGGTCTGTATTTAGAATTTAACCCTGAAGAAAATCACAACCACTTAGATGAATTAACTGCAATGTTTAAATGTGAACCTTCTGAAAATGTTGATTGTGAGGGTAACCTTGTTTAGAGAAATAAAATTGTCACCTTGTTAATTTCCAAGAAGTTCAATAGATGTCTCTTGGAGGCCGTGCTGATTCCGTTAATTGATGCAATGGGTCGCTGACATTCGAGGAAGCGTCTTCCTTCTAGTATTTCACTGTAAGTCAGTCAAACCCGTGTCCACACAAGGCAGCGGCTCAGTAGTGAGGAATCCTTTATCGACGTGAATTAGCACAAACTCACAATGTTTCCAGCATTTCTGAACCATTTTCTAGGAAAGTAGAAAAATAAATGCTTATGTTTCCTTAGCTTCTTTTTCCTTTTCTGCATAACTCTGACTGTATTTTACACTCCCTAGTAATTTACCTGCCGCCTCTTTTGAGGTCAATATTATTGCACCTACACATCCGTTTTGAGAAAAGAGCTGCCCAGTTGCACCATCTTACTCTTCCCTAGACATTCTCGCCACAGCCACCTCCAAAGTGTGGGCTACCTCTCCCCAAAGGTAGCACATTCTCTGTGCTTAATTAAGTTTTGAATTAAGTACCCAATGAATGGATTCAAGAGACATGAAGAACTTACTATTGTTAAGTATAATAGTTAATAGTAGCTCAGAACTAAACAGAAATATACAGAATTGACAAAGCAAGGCTATATTTAGTAATTCTTTGCCTTAGTTATCCAGAACAATGAAAAATCCAGATAAAATGCAGAGTCAGAGATGCACAAAGAGTAATGAAAGAAAGAGATAAAAACAGATAAGTGAATGGACATATTAGCTGATAAGCAGGTGAAGAGACAGATGATGATGATGATAAGTTAGAAAGATAGATTAACTGATAAAGAGATTGATAATATATAAATTAGATGATAGATGGTAGAGTGATAGAAAGAAAGATGATAGATAAATAGATAATATGTGATAGATGATAGAGTGATGATGGAGATGACAGATAGATCAATGATGGAGATAGATAATAGATAGATAGATAGATAGATAGATAGATAGACAGACAGACAGATAGACAGAAACAGATAGGTTATACATAGACAGATGATACACAAGACAGCTGTGAGAGCAGCCAGTGTTTCAGGGGCCAGTCCTAGTGAGAATTGTGCTTCCTGAAGTGGGCACTCTCTCTGCACATCACTTTCTATCTCTGGGAACTTGATGATTCGTGGCTGGGTTGAGGTAAGGAAAAGGAAATAGGGCTGCTGTTGAGAAGAAGAGGAAACAGCAGAGCTTCCTGCAGTACTGTGAGGTACAAGAGGCTCAACAGACATCAAGCTCAAGAAACAAATAAAACTACACCAAGTCACATCATAATCAAATTGCCTAAAGCCAGTGATTAAAAGGAAACCTTAAAACAGGAAGAGAAAAAGAAACACAGTATATGTATGGAGAAGCAAAGATAAGAATGACAGCAGACTTCTCATCAGAAATGATGCAAACAGGAAGACAGTGACACAGTATCTTCAAAGTACTCAAAGAAAAGACCGGCAACCTAGAATCCTATACCCAGCAAAAAAAAAAAAAAAAAAGTTCTTTCAAAAATGAGGCCGGGCGCGGTGGCTCACGCTTGTAATCCCAGCACTTTGGGAGGCCAAGGCGGGTGGATCACGAGGTTAAGAGATCGAGACCATCCTGGTCAACATGGTGAAATCCCGTCTCTACTAAAAATACAAAAATTAGCTGGGCATGGTGGCGCACGCCTGTAGTCCCAGCTACTCGGGAGGCTGAGGCAGGAGAATTGCTTGAACCCAGGAGGCGGAGGTTGTGGTGAGCCGAGATTGCGCCATTGCACTCCAGCCTGGGTAACAAGAGCGAAACTCCGTCTCAAAAAAAAAAAAAAAAGAAAAAAAAGAAAATGAGAGTGACAAAGCTTGGGTAGTGTCAGTGGAGACTTGGTGGGGATCCCAGCAGGAAGGAGGTGTCCCTGCCACACACTCTGATAAGGGAACCTGGACTTCCGGCCCATCTCATCATGTGCCTGCAGTAATGAGACAGCACCTCTTTCCTCTGCCAGTATGGCACCTGATAAAATACAGCAATATAAATAAGATCCAGAGTCTCTTAACATAATACCCAAAATGTCTAGGTTTCAATCAAAAATCACTCCCTCTTACTTTACGCAAATAACCTCCTCTCCTAATCCACAAAGTCAACT